GTTACTTTACTAGTTACTTGGAAAAAAGTAATCTGATTACGTAACTCGCGTTACTTGTAATGTGTTATCCCCAACACTGGTCCTAATTTACTCGGAACAGATCTGTTGCTGTTGTGCTTTTCAAAATTTAAACTGAAATTAAGGCAGACATCATATTGGTAGGTTTTGTGATATTCACTAATGAAAAAAACTTATTGTAAAAAATAAAATTAGCATAAAAGAAAAGCTTACTTTGCTTTCTTTACCATTTGTATGCTTACAGACAATTTCTACACCGTCCCTGTTCTCTGTTAGTATAACACATAAAGGATGGTTGTGGTTCTCTTTCAGGAAGTCGATGCTGCAGCGCTGTTGCGTCTCTATCTGAACTATGATCAGCTGGAGTCAGCAGCTGAGCTCGTGCTGGAGTATGTGGATGCTCTTCTTGGAAAGGGACATCAGTATTTTGGTATAGAGGTATGTAGTCCTGACTACTATTACAATTTGAATAAGTATTCAGTTTCTTTTTTCCTCACAACAATCTGAAATGAATTAAAACTTTATGGTCTGTTGTAGACATTATGGTCGTTAATTGCTAAGATTGCAAATAATGAATACACATTTGCTTTTAAAATCTTTCAAAGTATATTTGCAGTTTGTGGGTGTATTAGTTTTAGGGATGCACTGATCGGATCCTCAGTAATCCGTATCGGCTCAGATACTGCCATTTTCTGCCGGATCGGTCAGACCAGACCAATCCAAATCCGATATTGTGCGTATGCTATTCTGAGATATTGTTAAACCCCACTAAAGGTTCAAAACATTATAAAGCACCATAAAGTTTTTTTTTGCACTATATTCCAAGTGTTCTGAAGACGTTTTATAGTTTAATGTGAGGTACAGATGAATATTTAAGTCATTAAATTCAAGTTCACGTAAACTCTTCTCTCCTCTGCGGCTGTCTGTCATTCAAACTGCGCGTCTCGGTCGATTACGACAGTCAAGACGATAAAACTCTCTCCAAGATGATTCAATGTTCCTATTATTATACTTGATCTGTAGATAAAGATCAGTGGTTTTGTATAAAAGGACTTTATCTTGCTGGAGTTTAGTGCTGTTTCTAAAGCATGGTTCTTTCTACCGGGTGTCTGTTAGATCACAGCACTGGATTAGAGAGCACTATGAATTGTTCTTCAAGCGCACAGGAACTGAAATGTAAAACTGTTAAAAGAAAAGACTCTATCGAACAGTTATAATACACTACGCTTCAATATGTCTTCAATAAGCCCTTTGTGCTTTGAACTTTTCTATGTGCTGCGCGCTGTGACTGTTGCTTCAAGCGCATCATTCTGCTCACGGGATGCGCATAAGAGCTTTGGGCCACTCTGTTGGAGCCTTTCATATTATAATACTTTTGCGCAATGATAGATATTATTGATAGCCTTTCTTGTTCTGTCCTATCTATCATATGTTGCTGCCTCATTATGGTGCTATACATTTAAAATAAATGTCTTTTAATTTTATAGTATATATTTATATATAAATCAGGGTTCCCACGCTTCTTGAAAGTACTTGAATTTCAGACATATGGATTCAAGGCCTGGAAAGTACTTGAAAACAAACATAGGTCCTTGAAAGTGCTTGAATTAAATTTGAAATCAATTTTATGGCGCTATTTCAAAAATGATCCTGTATGTTCTGTCAAAGACAACGAAACGGCACTAATGACTGGGGGTGGAGATGGGGTAGCGTGAAAAAAAACTTGTGTGTTGATGCGCAGCCTAGAGCCCTGAGCGGGACAGTTTTCTTAAGCCCGCTCCCGCTGAATTTCTGACCATTACCGCCCACTCCCGCAACGTGTGTGTCCCGCTCCCACAAACATTCTAATATTGTATATACAGGGATTCAAGTTTTCCGTCACTACAACGGATTTCCGTCAATTAGAAAAAATGAGGGGAAAAGAAGCATGTAGCACATTGTTGTTGTTCTGCCGGCACACCAAAAATACCATTACCGCCCACTCCTGCAACGTGTGTGTCCCGCTCCCACAAACATTCTAATATTGTATATACAGGGATTCAAGTTTTCCGTCACTACAACGGATTTCCGTCAATTAGAAAAAATGAGGGGAAAAGAAGCATGTAGCACATTGTTGTTGTTCTGCCGGCACACCAAAAATTCTCCCCACCACGGCTGCAGCTTCTCAGCCGCTCGCATCATTCACAGTCGGGTTATTAGCAGAGAACACAGAGCAGGTCTTGAATTTCGGCGCGGGATTGCGGCTATTAATAATAATTCTACTCATTCCCGCAGGTTCCGCGCTTATTACGCGATGACAGATGACGGAACGTATCATTTGCATGTGCTTTTGAGTCTTGAGAACTCTCATTTTCTGTGCGCCCACAGATCGCGATAAGGAGAGTGACCGCTTTTAATAGTTAAGGGAGTTTGCAAATGTGATATTGATTGAATAAAACCGTTCAATAAACAAGTACTGCCTGATTTTGCTCTATTTCATCAACGAAAATAGTTCCAAATAAAGTAACGGCTCAGCCGCTGCGCATCTCTAAAAGCAAACACAGCGGTGTTTCATTCATGAATGAAAGTGCGTTTTTGAACGAATCTAGTGGTAGTGGCAAAAAGTCAGTGATTCATGATTACCCATTCATAAAGACTTGTTTCATTTCCTGAATGAATCAGCCATTCAAACGAATCAATTGAATGAATGATTCAGTGATAAAATCAGTGACTTGCCGCCACCTTTTAGGTATAATTTCAGTTATTTAAATCATTTAATATTTCTGTATTCAAATTTTTATATTTAAAACATTAATCTCCACATGAATTAATGAATTTAATTGCACTCATGCCACCTCTGAGCCTCATTAAACGTCTGAAAATGTACCTTCAAGCCACTTTTGTGTTCTTCTGTGCACCCTCTGTAGTACAAATTAATTTTTTATTAATACTAATTTCATATGATTGGTAACTTATTTGTCTCATTCTAATTCTCATTATATTGTTTTAAATAGAAATTTTTAAAAGCTTATAAACAATTTTTTTTAATTTAACAGATGAAAATTATTCCATTGCAAAGGTAAAAAGAAAATACCCCTGTAAGTCACTTTAAGGAGTCAAATGTCAGCTCGTATTAGGAATGCTAATTTTTGATCAGAATTTTTGATCATTGATCAGAAGGTACTCCTAAATTTTTTAAATTAGGAGGACAAGCGCTCCTAAAAAGAAAAGTAAGCACAGAGCCATGTGTATCAGTAGCCTATATTAGATCCGTGCATGACGGATGACCCCTACTTAATAAGATTAACATGCTGAAGTGTTGTGAAATACATGGAGACTATTTTTTTATAGGCTTTATAGACTCCCAAAACTTACTGCAACATGGAGCAAAGGAGAAAATGTAGAACTTGAAAAATTGGAAAAACAGCTTAGTGAAAAGCGTTTACAGTTTAAAAGCAAATAGAAAGTCCTCTTTTTTTTTTATTTCTTTTCTTAATTTTTTTTTTTTGCAGATTTGCGCATGTACAAACAAGGATTAAAATGTTCATGAAATATTTTTAAAAAATATTGACGCTTTGAGCAGCTGCATTCCTCTAAATCAAAGATGAAAAAATGGGATTTACAATAGTCATTTACAAAAATATTTTGACTTGAGTATATTTATTAATGAGTAACGTCTCTTTTGAGTGAATGTGCAAATTTGTAATGTTAAGAGGTTTGACCATGTTATTACAACATTGAACCACTTTTTATTAATTTAAAAATTGAGAAATTTTCAAATTTAAATCTTGTACAAGAACTACAGCAAAACCAGTTTGATACATATTTGATCAATATTTTAGAAATTGTATTTGAATATTACCAGTACTGACTTCAATGGATTTCATTAAATTCCTTTGAACACAACTGCTCAAAACGGTCTAAATTTATGAAACCTACACATTCAAAACATTATTACTCTGAAATGTTTAATGTAAATGTTAAGTGTAAGTGAAATGTTAAGTACTGTAAGGTCTTTCATGACACTACATATGCTGGGGTGTGAATTTGATAGGTGCTTTAAAAAGTCCTTAAGTCCTTGAATCTGGTGTTCATGAAAGAGTGGGAACCCTGATAAATATATTTACTTGTATTTCATGAATGTATTTTACAACAGTACAAATGGTGCTTTTCCACTACACGGTACGGCTCGGCACGGTACATCACGGTTTGCGTTTCCACTGCAGTTTAGTGCCGCTTTAGAGTGGGCGGGATTATAGACATGTTGTTATAGTTGCGCCGCCTTTTTCAAACCTTTTTCATTCCGCATCGTCCCATCAAGCTCTTGCTGGATCCACTCCTTGGCTATCAACGAGAGGAACGTCTGTACTTCCGCAACAGACCATGAAAGCCATTATTTTGTTGTTTGAATAAAGGTGAGCTCATTCGAAACGGTTGCGTTCGTTCAAAAAAAGTTGCGTTTGATCCTCGCTGGCTGTGCTGATTTAATCTAGTGGGTCTCGTGTCTGGGTTTTACACGTCACATTTTGGTAACGGTGCAGCTCGCTTGGAACCTGAGCCGAGGTGGTACTGAAAAAAGTACCAGGTACTGTACACAGTGGAAACCCCCCCCAAAAGCGAACCGTGCCATGCCGTACCATGCAGTGGAAAAGTGCCAAAAGAGCATTGTGTAGCATTTTACCAGATTTAGTCCTACACTTATTCACTTTTGTTCCCCACTAAATAATGTTTTTTCACTTATTGTTTAAATTTTATAAAATTATTGTGCACTCGTTATTTTTCTAGAGTAACTTTTTCTGCTGAATTATCCACTAACCTAGTTTATAATAGTATATTTTGTCATATATTCATATATATATTCATATATATATATATATATATATATATGAATATATCTACAGGTACATCTCAAAAAATTAGAATATCATGAAAAAGGTCAATATTTTTTGTCACTCATTTCAGAAAGTGAAACCCATATATTATATAGATTCATTACACATAGAGTGAAATATTTAAAGCCTTTATTTCTTGAAATTTTGATGATTATGGCTTACAGATAATGAAAACCCAAAATGTCTGAGAAAATTAGAATATTGTGAAAAAGTTCAATTTTGAAAATATTGGTGTCACACCCTAATCGGCTAATTACCTCAAAACACCTGCAAAGGTTTCCTGAGCCTTTAAATGGTCTCTCAGTCTGGGTCAGTAGGCTACATAATCATGGGGAAGACTGCTGACTTGAAAGATGTCCAGAAGACAGTCATTGACACCCTCCACAAGGAGGGTAAGCCACAAAGGTTCATTGCTAAAGAAGCTGGTTGTTCACAGAGTGCTGTATCCAAGCATATTCATAGAAAGTTGAGTGGAAGGAAAAAGTGTGGTAGGAAAAGGTGCACCAGCAAGAATTTGTGGGAGCTTCACAAGGAGTGGATTGAGGCTGGCGTCAGTGCATCAAGAGCCACTACGCACAGACGAATCCTAGACATGGGCTACAAATGTCGCATTCCTCGTGTCAAGCTACTTCTGAACCAGAGACAACATCAGGAGCGTCTTACCTGGACTGTGGAGAAAAAGAACTGGACTGTTGCTCAGTGGTCCAAAGTCCTCTTTTCAGATGAAAGTAAATTTTGCATTTCATTTGGAAATCAAGGTCCCAGAGTCTGGAGGAAGAGTGGAGAGGCACAGAAACCATGTTGCTTGAAGTCCAGTGTGAAGTTTCCACAGTCAGTGATGATTTGGGCTGCCATGTCATCTGCTGGTGTTGGTCCACTGTGTTTTCTGAAGTCCACAGTCAACGCAGCCATCTAACAGGAAATTTTAGAGCACTTCATGCTTCCTTCTGCTGACAAGCTTTATGGAGATGCTGATTTCATTTTCCAGCAGGACTTGGCACCTGCCCACACTGCCAAAGGTACCAAAAGCTGGTTCAATGACCATGGTGTTACTGTGCTTGATTGGCCAGCAAACTCGCCTGACCTGAACCCCATAGAGAATCTATGGGGTATTGTCAAGAGGAAGATGAGAGACACCAGACCCAACAATGCAGATGACCTGAAGGCCGCTATCAAAGCAACCTGGGCTTCCATTACACCTGAGCAGTGCCACAGGCTGATTGTCTCCATGCCACGCCGCACTGATGCAGTAATTCATGCAAAAGGAGGCCCAACCAAGTATTGAGTGCATAGAAATGTCAGGCTTCTGAAAAGTATGTTTATTTCTGTTTAAAATATCCTTTTTTTTATTGATCTTATGCAATATTCAAATTTTCTGAGATACTGAATTTTGGGTTTTCATGATCTGTAAGCCATAATCATCCAAATTTCAAGAAATAAAGGCTTTAAATATTTTACTATATAATATATGGGTTTCACTTTCTGAAATGAGTGACGCAAAATATTGACCTTTTTCATGATATTCAAATTTTTTTTAGATGTACCTGTATATATAATCATATATATATATTATGATTATATTTTTTATTATAATCTATATATTAAGTTGTCTATAGTAGATTGTGTTTAACACAAAACAGTGATGATCAGGTCAACAAATTTTGCATTGATTTGAAAAAATAAATAATAATGTTCGGTATCGGATCGGTTCTGAAAAAAATGGTATCGTGCATCCCTAATTAGTAGGGATGTAATGATTAACTCAACTCACGATTCGATTCACAGTTTTGATTTCACGATTCGATTCGATTCACGATTATTATTTTTTTTAACAAAATTAGATTTAAGACAAATTATAAATTAAATGTGTCCTTTTATTATTACTTGGACAAAATGCTGCACATTTCTTTGTGAAATTGAAATATAACACTATAATAACAGACTAATTTAGCACTTACATATTATTGTTCTTTTGTTGGTTTTGATTGCTTCTATTGTCCTCATTTGTAAGTCGCTTTGGACAAAAGCGTCTGCTAAATGACAACATTTTTATATAATGTAAATGTAAATAACAAAACTACATTGAAATTTTAAAACAAGCCCCAAATCAAATAAATAAGTAACACAAATAAAATAAATCTCTTCATATAAACAAAGTAAGGCTTTGTCTGTGGTCTTTCCATTTAAAATTGGAGGCAACCACTGTATCCAAACAAAGAGCAGTTTTTAATCGGAATTGAATTGTATGATTTCGAAATTTGAGGCAAAAACAGAATGGTCTGACTTCAGATTTGTGAAACTATAGCACATAAAACATCTGCACGAAACAAAACCGTAGACGGGCTGATGAACGCAAATTCACTCTCTGCCAGCAGGTGGCGCTTAAAGCGTTTCCTTGGTTTCCGCTGTAAACAAAGCAGCAGCACTTATGAACTTTAATATGCATTATACGGAGGAGGCAAGATAAAAAATACCATCTAAACTTTCTAAAGACAGTAAGTTCCCCTCAGACATGCATTTATATAAACCCCTACACCTAAATGAACCGTTTAGCATCTCAACCGATTTGAATCGTCACATATTTGAATCTATTTTCAACCGGCTTGCGGTTAATCGTTACATCCCTACTAATTAGTTTACAACTAATAATAAAGTTATGCAAATAGCAGTTTGTGCAAACAGGTTGGACACAAGCATATTTAAAAAAGACTTGTATGTGCTCATTGCTTCAATTGTTACACATGCTGCTTACGTTTGAAACACCAGCAATATCCACTTTCCACTGATTTTCTTTACAGCAGTGAAGGGTGCGTTTTTTTATGGACATTTAAAGTGTGGACAAGCAAGGTTTTTTTTATATTATTGATTTATTTTTACACAGTGCCCTACAGTCACTATATTTGTTATCATAGTCTTTAATTTGCACATTGTGTGGAGAACAAATTTGAGCAAGATGTGAAATAACCCATTTATTTAAATAAAATACAGAAAATAGATTTTGGCTTTTTAAAAATCTGATTATTCAATAATTTGAATAAACAATTTGAAACAAAAACTGTATGTATATGTAATGTGTATGTTTAATATTCATTAAAGCAGGGTTTCACAACCCAATCTTACTGGATTATTTCACTCTTTGCAAAAGGAATGTTTGCAAATCTGTCAAACATCTAATGTGCTTAAGACTTCTGCACAGTACTCTGAGTGGATTTATTATTGTCCTTTGATTTCCTGACAGCGGCCTCTCTCAGCTACAGCATCCCTGGTATGGCTGCCTTATACATCGATCGATCAGCTCTTAAGAAACCTCAGTGAAAGTCAGATCAATGAAAAGGTGAAGTATTTTTCACTTGCATTTGTCATGATGCCCGAGATTTTTATTTCATGATTTTGAACAGAACTTTAGAAACCTGTTCTCGTCTATTGAGATGGGTTAGATATTCAGCAACAATTCAACAACAGATGAATCTAATCTATTCAATAAAAATCTTAATTTTCAAAGTGGGCAGTTAAGAAATCAAAGTATGATGACATTTTGCATGTATGGTTTTGTGATGTTCTCTGGCTTTGACGCACTATTTTCTTGACAAACTATTTTCCTGTTTGACACTTTAAAGCTGCTTTGACACAATCTGTGTTGTATAAAGTGCTATATAAATAAAGCTGACTTGACTTCTCTGTCTACAGATGTACAAGAATCTGAAAGATAAACTATCAGAGTATCACAGACTGGTGGATCAGAGCAGCAGACACAGACTCATGGCCCGTTAATGGCCACTCAGAACTGTACTTCGGTCATGTACGGGAGTATAAATAATGTTGATGAAAATAATGATTGTTTGTGGCGTGTAGTTGTGTTGTGCTTTTTGATTCCCATGCTGAAAATGAATGGAAAGTGTATCAACATCTGCATCAATGATTTGATGTGTCAGTTCAGCCTTATAAAATCAATTGAAAATTGTTTTTTTATTATATAGACACAGTTTAAAACATCTTAAACTTTATATGTTGTACTCTTGACTTAACTGGTGTAATTTAAATAAGGAATGCAATAAAACAGTTGTTTAATTGATATGTTTCAGACCTCATAACTCTCTTTTCAGTCTAAAAATAACCTATTTTAATACCAAGCTGCAAAATCAGCTCATTCTCTAATATATTTTAATATAAAATATAAAGAATTGGAACTAATTGACATATGGGGGGAAACCCATTCTAAGAAAAGCGATTTCAACCATTTCTCAGGCGCACACACTGTGTATTTAAGAATAGATTTATCAAAAGGAAAACATAGGATACAGGATTGCCAAATTGGAGTCACGGATATTTCTGACCAAAGTGCCATTTACCTGATTGTTCATTTAAATAAAATAGAGAAACCCTTTGGAGATGGGGATATTGAATAATCAGTCTGTAGTTGAACAAATGAAAACTGAAATCAAAAGATTGAAGATATGGATGAAAATGACAATGGAAAGATGGATCAAAAGAGATGGAAATCAAAAGAAAAACAAGACAAACTGCTTATTTCAGACCTAAGGCAGTTGGAGTCTGAACATAAAATACTGATGGAGTGACATTACAACAAATAAAAGAAGTGCAAAGGAAAGCAACAACTTTCTAAATAAAAATATTTTAAAAATAGTGAAAAAAAGTGATTGTTTCTTTTTTTTTTTTTTTGTGATTACTTAGGTTTCTGGCATGTCTGCCAGCTCAGAAAAGCTGAAAAGAAAACACGCAGCCAGTTTGTCTGTCTGAGTCTGAAACTGTCTCATCCAGTGAGCGGTTTCAGTTTGCAGCCAGTTTCTATGTAGTTGGCTAGCTATTTGAAGACCACCACCTCTGAGCCATATACAGTATGGATATCCAAGGCAGCAATTCACGCATCTTGTGTCGACGCCCCATAGGGATGGGGTCAGCAGTAGCTCATTATCATTTAAAGAGACATGCACTGAAATGGGTTGCTGTGAACAGAGCTGTTTTACATGACCATTGAGGAATTTTAACCAAAGTATGTTACAGACATTTCATGAAGACCCTAAAGAATCACACCAACTTGTGAAAATGGGCATCCGATGTCCCCTTTAAAACAAAACTACTATGAGATAGGCCCAAGGTCAATTAAGTTATTGCCATCTTGCTGTGTAATATTTTTCAGTCTCTCTTAATCTTTGGCAGAAAAGAGAAGTGAATCACACTGTGAATGGTGCTGATGCTCTCACGAGAAGTGAATCACAGTTTCTATGTGTTTCAAGGCATGTGATCTGTTTGCTACTGATGTCATGCTTTCATTTTTATGAGCTTCACTGTCAGGTAATCAAGGCTCAGATCCAATTGTGAGTGAAGGAAAAACAGTTTATTAAGAACTCTCAGAATGTGGAAACAAACAGGAGATCCAGATAATCCGAGAGAGACATCCAAGCTCGTAGAAAATAAAGTCCGAGAGCAGAAGTCTGGTCAACGGGAAACAAAAGGCCGAGCAGGATCACAGAGAACACACTAGGAGTCTAGGAGAGAACAAACAGTGGTGAGCAAGACAACGAACTGACAAAGGACCGTGAAAGCGTGAGCCAGATAAAGGCAGCCCAGATAGGCTTCAGGTGAACACCTGATTAGGAGGGCGGGGTTGCCAGACGCAGCAGACAACCACGCAACACACAACACCACGCACACAGGAATGAGCACACGAACCGTGACAGTACCCCTCCTCCTAAGAGCGCCTCTCAGCGCTCCCAGGAGAACCTGCCTGGTGATTGTAATCATCGATAAGGGAGTGATCTAATATATCTCTCGCAGGCACCCAACTCCTCTCCTCCGGGCTCGTAACCCTCCCAAGTCCACCAAGTACAGGAATCCTCGTCCCCTCCGTCTCGAGTCCAGAATACATTTGACCAAATAGGTAGGTTCCCCATCTACGAGACGTGGCAGTGGGGGAACCAGGACAGGCGGATTAATCGCAGAATGAAAAACGGGCTTTAATATAGAAACATGAAATACGGGATGAACTCTCCTGTACGCTGGAGGAAGTTTGAGGCGGACTGCCACCGGACTAATGATTTTGGTGACAGTAAACGGGCTGATAAATTTGGGAGCAAGTTTATTACAAACGGTGTGGAGAGAAATGTTCTTAGATGAAAGCCACACTATTTGACCAACGACGTAGATGGGAGGCTTTGTCCGGTGGCAATCGGCCTGAGCCTTGGTGCGTGCTCCCACCCGGAGGAGAGTCTGTCTGGCTCTGCTCCAGGTGCGACGGCACTTCTGGACAAAAGCGTGAGCAGAGGGAACCGCGACTTCGGATTCCGTACTGGGAAAAACAGGTGGCTGGTATCCTAAGCTACACTCAAATGGAGACAGGCCCGTAGCCGACACCGGTAAAGAGTTGTGTGCGTACTCAACCCATGAGAGCTGCTGACTCCAGGAGGACGGATTCTGTGAAACCAAACATCGTAACATGAGTTCTAAATTTTGGCTGGCTCTCTCTGTCTGACCATTACTCTGGGGATGGAATCTGGAAGAAAGACTGACAGTCGCCCCTAATAAATGACGAAATTCCTAAATGAATACCATGAATGAAATGGGAATATTTCATTTATGGTATTCATTTAGTAGTTGTTGCATTCTTGACAAAGTCTTCTCTTGTCTGTCTTTAGTTAATAAAATCTATTTTATTACACTTGTCTTTCTTGTGTCGATTATACAGAAAGAGGTTCTACAAGTTAGAGATCCCACCAATCTTTCTTATGTGATGTACTCATAACCACACCTTAAGTGACACGTGATCCAAATATCATAACGTCATTGGTGACGCGAGTACCCATCACTAGCCTACCTAAGTTGGCGAAAGCAAAAATCACTACACAAGTTATAGACAAACCAAGTTATATTAGATCTTCAATGCCCAGCCTGCTTAGTTTAGGGCTTCTATGAGCACGAATGCTGTTTTAGTGCTTCTGAGCAAATGAAAAGAAATTAAGCCCACATATGCTGCAAAGCTTCTTTCCCAGTGAGAGAAAGTTGGTTTCTGCAATGTGAAGAGCAAAGCTTGCCCACATGCAGGATGTTCCTAACTTCTTAAAATATATCTTATTTGCAATGCAGAAAGAGCCCTTTCAGTGTGTTACAAGTTATAGACACAGCAAGTCATATTAGATCTTCAATGCACAGCCTGCTTAGTTTAGGGCTTCTATGAGCACGAATGCTGTTTAAACGATTCTGAGCAAATGAAGAGAAGTTAATCCCACATCTGCTGGAAAGTTTATTTCCCAGTGAGAGAACGTTGGTTTATGAAATGTTAAGAGCAAAGCTTGCGCACATGCAGGATGTTCCTAATTTTTGAAATTATATTTTATTTGCAATGCAGAAAGAGCCTTTTCAGGGTGTTACAAGTTCTAGACAGACCAAGTCATATTAGATCTTTATTGCACAGCCTGCTTAGTTTATGGCTTCTATGAGCACGAATGCTGTTTTAGTGCTCCTGAGCAAATGAAGAGAAATTTCTAGACACTGCAAGTCATATTAGACCTTCAGTGCAGGGCGGGATGTTCAGACGTGCTGTAGAGGCGGTTTAGTGAATCACACTGAGCCAGCTGACCAATCTCAGCCTATCACGTATTTCTGAGGGAGGGCTTCATAAAAACAGGAAATAATCGAGGCATTTGTTAGAGAAGGGACAGATCTGTGTGGAATAAAGGTAAATTATGTGTATGAGCACTAATGCTGTGTTAAAGCTTCTGAGCAAATAAAGAGAAAGCAAGTCCACATATGATGTAAAGCTTCTTTCCCAGTGAGAGAAAGTTGGTTTATGCAATGTTGAGAGCAAAGCTTGCGCACATGCAGGATGTTCCTAACTTATGAAATTATATCTTATTTGCAATGCAGAAAGAGCCTTTTCAGGGTGTTACAAGTTCTAGATACACCAAGTCATATTAGATCTTCAATGCCTGCTTGCTTAGTTTAAGCCTTCTATGAGCACGAATGCTGTGTTAGTGCTACTGAGCAAATTAAGAGAAATTAAACCCACATATGCTGCAAAGCTTCTTTCCCAGTGAGAGAAAGTTGGTTTATGCAATGTTGAGAGCAAAGCTTGCCCACATGGAGCATTTTTCTAACTCATGGAATTAAATCTTATTTGCAATGCAGAAAGAGCCTTTTCAGTGTGTTATAAGTTCTAGACACAGCAAGTCATGTTAGATCTTCAATGCACTGCCTGCTTAGTTTACGGCAGGTTTTAAGTTGGCGAAAGCAAAAATCACTACACAAGTTATAGACACACCAAGTTATATTAGATCTTCAATGCCCAGCCTGCTTAGTTTAGGGCTTCTATGAGCACAAATGCTGTTTTAGTGCTTCTGAGCAAATGAAAAGAAATTAAGCCCACATATGCTGCAAAGCTTCTTTCCCAGTGAGAGAAAGTTGGTTTATGCAATGTTGAGAGCAAAGCTTGCCCACATGGAGCATTTTTCTAACTCATGGAATTAAATCTTATTTGCAATGCAGAAAGAGCCCTTTCAGTGTGTTACAAGTTATAGACACAGCAAGTCATATTAGATCTTCAATGCACAGCCTGCTTAGTTTAGGGCTTCTATGAGCACGAATGCTGTTTAAGTGATGCAGAGTAAATTCAGAGTAACAAAACTACAACAGCAACAAGTCTGTGGCCTTGAGCAGCTTCTACAGGTAAAGATAACTTAAAGCTCTCCTTTTATGTGTCATTTTTAGGCAATGTTTGAAAAATTTTATTTTTTTAAGAAATGGCAAAATATTTAATGCATTATTTAATTATTATACCGTTAAAAATTAACTTAATTTGTAGTTAACTAGTTAAGTATTTAAATAATTTACCATACTAGGCTGTTGGTGTCTGGGCTTATTAATTTTTTTATTTTTTTAAATGACATGAGACTTCCTGAACTTGCTATACTTCATAGTCATTTTATAATAAATCCAAAAGCAAGACGTGAGGAAAAAGTAGGGAGTTGAAATGGCAACTGAGCTAATGGGTGTTCCTCTGCTGCCATCTAATGGATATAATGGTAATTTCATGGCATTTTCATCTAAACTGTTTGATTT